AAGAGGGGGGGGGGGGGGTAAAGTTTTTCTAAAAATAAGTGATTTTATAGTGTTATAAAAAATACATATAAGGTATGAATTATAATAATTATATTCTATTGTTATAACTAGGGCTAAGATGTTTATGCAATTGCATATTTTTTTCTATTTATCCAATTTATTGCAGACCTGGATACAAATTTGATTCATGTTCTACTGAATAAAATAATGCTATTTTTATTTTGCATATTTTTGTATATTTAGTGGTTTTTTATTTTAAATGCATATTTTTGGATTTTAAGAATATAAATGCATATTTCAAAACAATTTAATGTAAAATATAAATAATGTTCCTTATTAGGTATTTTTATACTGTGCTTGTCCGGAATATTTATTAAATAACGATTTAATAATAGAATTTTGTATAACTTCATGCCATGAGTATGTGGCGACGACCAAGCGACATATTGGTACGATTTTAATCGCCATGTTTCCATGTCGGTCGTTAAAGCCTCGATTACATTGAGCGATTTTACTAGCGTTTAAAGTCGCGCGCTTGTGAGCGTGTAGCGACTTGTCCGATTACATTGAGCGATTAAATTCGCTCGTTCGCTAGTCGCGTACACTCATTCATGTGATATACATATAATAGAAAGTTGTCATTGATATAGATAACTCATTCGTTTTCGTTTATGTTTTAAATTGTATTATTTATTAATTATTTATTATTATTTATTTAACTGGGCCCCGTTCATCCTTAGAATATTTTGATAGGCTGCAGTCTTCGTGTTTTAGTTCTTTTAATAATGTATTGGATGCATCATATTTCTCTCGCCTTGAAATCCAACTTCTGATCCATAACCTTTTATTTTTATACTTTTTCTTTTCTAACTCCTGTCGCAATAAATGAGAAATCACAATAACTCGAACTACAGCTTCCGACATTTTGACCAGTCACTAATTGTTGGCACACTAGCAATTTCACCAGCTAGGGCGATTACATTGAGCGATTTCACTCGTTGGAGTGTAAAAAAGTCAGTGACTAGCGACTAAAGTAGCCCGGCCGTTTACATTAATCGCGAGCGAGTAGCGAGTATTCAACACGTGGCGAGTAAGCGACTAAGATGATTATATTGAGCGACTTTAGTCGCAGCAAGTTAATTCGCCAGTGCCTAGCGTGTAAACTCGCTCAGTGTAATCGAGGCTTAAGAGTACTTTTTATTATTTATATTTTTTTGCAGTTAGTTTTACTTTTTTTTAAAAATGCCGAAATGTAAGTCGTTTTGTTCAATTCATCTTAAAATTTTTGTAGACGAGTTTGGAAATTATGTTTTTTCTACGGATGGTACGGTTTTGTATTGTAAAGTGTGTGAAATTAAATTTGGATATGAACGTCGTTTTACCTTCGAACAACACTTGAAGACAGCCAAACATATCCGCACAGCTGATCGATAGAAACAAACTCAGTCACAACAACTAATTTGCAATGTGGTCGGTAAAAAATCATCATTTTACATGGATATGTGCAGAGCATTTATAGGAGCCAATATTCCTTTCCACAAAGTAAATAATAAAATATTTCGTAATTTTTTAACAAAATATACAGGTAAAGAAATACCAGAAGAGTCAACTTTACGCAAAAATTATTATCTGATTGTTATGAAAAATCAATTAAAAAAAATTAGGAATGATATCACTGGCAAAAAAATATTTGTTACTATAGATGAAATAACAGATTACGAAGGCCGCTACGTAGCAAACGTGATTATTGGTATTCTTTATAAAAGTACGCCGGGTAAATTGTATTTATTGAACTCTGAAGAGTTAGATAAAACAAATTACTTCACAATTAGTAAAGTTTTTGATCAATCCATGTTTCTTTTATGGCCAGAAGACATTTGTCACGATGATGTTCATTTATTTGTTACTGATGCCGCCCCATATATGAGCGAATAATTACTACCAATTCGTTAAAAGCGCTTTATTCAAAAATGGTGCACATCACCTGTCTTGCACATGCACATCATAGAGTAGCGGAAACAATTCGTGGAAAATTCAATAATGTAGACTTGTAGACTTGTGTCAAACGTTAAAAATGTATTTTTGAAAGCACCATCATGTTTAGAGATTTTTAAAACAGAAGTCTCTGGTATTTCTCTACCTCCAGTGCCTATAATAACACGTCGGGGAATATGGTTAGAGGCGGAATTTTACTACACTAATAATTTTACAACTATACAAAATGTATTTTTAGAATTAAACTTAGATTACGCAGTTTCAATCGAAAAAAGAATTAGCATTATGGCTGAACCAAATTTAGGCCCAAACTTAACATTCATTCAGTCCAACTTTAGATTTTTACCAGTCAACATAACTAAATTAGAATCATCTGGATTAACTTTGTTTGAATCAATTAATGTTGTCAATTATACTAGAGAAACCCTCAAAATGACTAATGGAAAAGTAGGAAAAGAAATTTACCACAAATTTCAGAATGTAATTGAAAAAAATAAAGAATTTAAAACTTTGGTACAAATTTCGAAAATACACTCCAGTGAAGTTGATACTATGGAAGGAATAGAAGATTTGAAGGTTGAGGATCTTGCATTCTTCAAATATGCTCCAATATCAATTGATGTAGAACGAAGTTTTTCATGCAACAAAAATTTACTTCCCGATAACAGACGCAGTTACAAATTTGAGCAAATTAAAAACATTTTAATTTGACCACATTAATTAGCACAGTGTAACACTAATAATCTAATAATTAATAAATAGTAAATAATACTGTAAATTAATGTAAATAAAACGCTATGTAAATTTAAAAAATGTATTTTAAATTGTAGTAAAAAAAAATAATATATAAAAATAACTACTAGGCAATAAAAATATTATATTTTTATTTTATGAATTGTAAAACATTATTTTGTGCATATTTTGGTAATTTATTAGTGCATAAATGCATGCATATTACAGTAGTTTTAAGTGCATAAACATCCGAGCCCTAGTTATAACAAATTAAAATGAATAGATATTTACAACCAGATGATATAAATCAGTGTTATCCAACCTTTTGTAGTTAACAGGTAAATTTATTTTTATAAAAACACTGGGGACCACAAAAAAAAAAAATTATATTATTATCCAGTTAAATCCGCAGTAAATAATAGCTATCTAATAATGACAACTAGGTGGAGTGATATAACCAACTTTCACTATCTTTCATCACAAGAATTTGGATTTGCTATGGCTGTTATAAAAAAACGATTCATAAATTCATATGTAGTGTATGTAGTGAGCTGGATTTAATCATGGTTTTGGGCGTTATACATTGCACGTCTATCTACGATTTATAGAATAAAAAATAAAAAGTGTAACATCATGGAACAATTTTGAATTTTGTTTTTTTTTTTTTTAATATGTCTTCAAGGGCCGCAGTTTTGATATGTAGAAGGTAATTAGTAATTTTATGGTGAAGAATTTCGGTAGTTTAAAATATAATATAGCCTATTGAATATTAGTTATTACCAGGGCTCGGGACTTAAAGCACTTAAAATTATTAAAATAAGCGCTTAAAAATATCATTATAAGCACTAAAATAAGCATTTAAAAAATTTAAAATTAAGCAAAAATATTTATTAAAAAAAAAACTATTAAGTTCTAACTAAACAATAAAACAAAATAAAAATACATTTTCACTTTCAAAACTTTAAAAATTTTCTAAAGAATTTTTCTGAAAAATAAAATGTAAACTGTTCTTTCTGTTTTTGATCATTCTGACGTTTGACACTCAGTTCTAGTTTCAACGTTGGATTATCTTTATTAACCCTACAACGATGGTTCGGATGGCGACGAGCTACGTGAAAACGTAGATAAGATAAGAATTATTTTTATTTTTAATTCTATCAAAAACGACTTTGAAGAAGAAAACTATAAAAACGTAAAAAAAACTGGTCGAATAAGTAAAAATAATCAGAATAACTGGAAATAAGCATTTTTTTGAAAAATTGCTGAAAAAGCCAAAAAAGGCACTTTCAAATTTCATAATTGTGCGTATTATAACTTGACATACACTGTGAGTGTGACGTCCTTTAAACATAAAACAAAAACTGCGTAAATGTGCTATAAATAACAATTAAACTGCCAAAATTTGTCAAATATGCATTTTGCTCAGAAAACGGCAAAATATGCGAAAATATGCAATTAAAATTTTTGTATTTCAATCTGTTATGATTTAAAACAAATTTAAATCTTACTTAAACTATTCTGCAGTCATTATTAAGCAATATGCAAATGCAACAAGTCCCGAATCTTATTCATCACATTAATAATAAATGTTCATACACAAAGTAAATTATTCACTTACAGTATTAAGATTTATCAAGCATTTTTAAATAGAATTTAGACATTTAAACAGTTTGTTGAATATGCTAAATGCATATTTGATCACAATTTAATCAAAACAAATATTAAATGTAAATAGGAAAGTCCAATTAAATAATTAGGATGAATAGTTGAATAATATGTTAATAATTTTTATTAAAAACAGTTACTAAACAAAATCACCTATTAAATTTTCCACAAAAGTATAATATAATATAGAATTATAGTTAGTCGTGAAATGTTAGTTCATGAAAACTATGATAGTTGGTAAACTCACGTTTTTCAGTATTTTATAATGATATCAATAATAAATAAAGTAATATGTTTTTATTTTATTTCCTTAATAATTCATGACAATTTTTACAAAATGAAATATTTAAATTTGATGTATTAAATTGTATTAATTAACTTTAAGACATTTAACTGCCAATTGTTTAGTTTACATTTAATTATTAAACAATTTAAACAGAAATAATTTTAGCATAAGTTTGTACATACAAATAAATATAAAAAAAAATCACTAGTACCATATTAAACACACATTGAGTTAAAAAATATTGACATTTTAAACCAAATAAGGCATTTAAAAAAATTGTAAAAAAAATTATATTAATACAAAAAAAAAAAAAGAAAAAAAACCTTAAATTATGTAATACTGAATGAAACTATGTCTAGTTATCAATGGTTGAAAATTCAAGGAATTATAATAAACACACCTTTTTTTGGAATATAACTTTGTAACTTTTCAATGACATTCATACGACAAAATGTTGATAAAGTATAAAAAGTTATTAAGGTATATGAATTATTTTGAATGGAATTCTTTGATGCAGAGTTTACAACTCCAGCAGCCTTCTGGTGGAGATGTAAGTGGGGGTGTTAAGCAATATACATGATAACCGCGGTCACAATCATCACAAAACAGAAGTTGATCCTAGAATAATAAAAATAGCGATAATTTTTCTTATGAATTTATAATTTTAAATTGTTATGCTTACATCATTATCTGATGTTCCACATATAGAGCAGCATTTGCACTCAATGCATTGCCAGCGATATTTTCCGACCGAAATTATCATATTTGCAGTAAATTGGAGACATGTTGGATGACCTTTAAGATGTATTAATTTTTAGTATATAATGCAAGAATATACAAAAAAAAAAAACATTGAATAAAACCATTTTACCTGAACGTCCACAGTCTGAACAAGAAATCAATATTTCTGGTTGTCCGGATTTATTAGATACTTCATCGCCCAAACAAAAATCACAATAAGGTGACGGATTAGCAGCTGATTTGTTATTGGCTCCAGATTTCGTTTTAGAATATCCCTAAAACAGAATATTTTATAAAGTTATATAGTTATGCGTATAAATATATTATAACCGTTACTTCTCTTGGCACAGGTTTATGATGAGATGCTTTAGTTGGAGTTGCATTTGATGAGTAAACTGAACTTGCAGCGCTTGTAGCTGCTTCATTTGGATTCAATGACAAAAGTGGTGAACTATTTTGATGATTCGACATCCTAGCTGAAACCCGTTTCGAGTGAGGGGCAGGAGAAGCGACAGAAGAGTTGTTGCTACCCGATGGACCTGAAACATATTACCATTGATTCGGTCCAATTGTACCTTGACCAAACCATGCATTTGGGTCTACAAATTACAATGCATACTTCAAATAATCTTGTAGTAGGGAAGTTATTCCCAGAGGTGTGATGCACTGCAACTTGCACAGTTAATTTTTCCCTACTTTTTAAACTTATTATATATAATATTTAAACTATAAAACTAAATAAAACCAGCTGAAAAACTTAAACTACTAAATAGTTCTACAAGAAATAAATATAAAGCTAATTTAACTTCTGTCATTATCAATAAACCTTAAAAAAAAAAAAAAACACGAATACACATAAACAAATTATGTAGATATGTTTTCGTACAATTTTTGAAAATAGTTACTTATCAACTGATAACAATTATATAATTCTATAAGAGTATTACTATTAATCAATTGAAATAATACAATAGAAATTTAACATGAAATATTAATTCTATTAAAATGACATATGTATACTTAAATATCTCTTAGGAAGAATGAAAAGGATTACTATAAAAAAATAAAACAAAATATATTTATAATTCCATGGTTTATTTAGAGTAAACAATTTTTTAATACAAAACCCAAAATATGTCCATAGTACAGCACCCTTGCCTTAATGAATTATACGGACTTAAAATAATCAGAGTAGAATTCAGAAATGAACACAAAAGGACAAGTTTCCAATTTTAAAATGACTCCATAATAAATTACAAAGTGAAACGGTCTGAATCGTCAAAAAAGATATACATTTAAAATAATTATTAAATTTGATTACAACATGTATGTTTAACATAAATTATATTTAAATTATAATTTAAATATTGGTTTTTAATGAGTCATCTTAAAAATAGACTTTATTCAATGAATTACTAAATTTATAAATTCCCAGAATGTAATTTCACTTATTTAAAACAATCGATAAATTCATATTCATTTCTCATAAAATACTAGGTTTATGCATATTACCACTAACAGTTACGCAGAAATTGTATTAAAAACAATAAATTATAAACAAGTATATAGTGAGTATATATATATATATATATATATATATGCGTGTGTGTGTGTATGTGTGTTTATGTGTGTGTGTGTGTGTATACATAATGCATATATGTATATGGCTTTTATGACTGTTATAAGGTAATTTCATGACAAATTAAATTAAATGCTATTAATATTAATTGTTACATCATTATCTAAAATACATAAAATTGGTCTACTTCATTTTATATCATAAATGATTGATTTTTGTCATTCAAAAAATATTAAAAAAAATATATTTAAACCAAATAAAAGATTACTTATATTTTTACTATAGTTATATTAATTAATAAAAATACTTTAAAAATTATTAATTCGATGTAGGTTAAGTAAAAAATATTTAAATAATGAAATAATAAATACTTTTAATACTTATTGTTATGATAAAAACTGTTCCAAAGATTTTGTAAAAATAGGTCTCATTTAAACATTATTTACATATCAACTAAAAATTATTTTAAGTTTGAATACTTTGGACCAAAATGTATAATAATAATAATAATAATAATAATAATAATAATAATAATAATAATAATAATAATAATAAAAATAATAATTATATTAGTAATAGTTAATTTTGATAGGTAACAATGTTGAGAGGAAATTTATAATTTAAATTAATTAATTTGACATATGTTGTACTATAAATAGTTGTATATGTTAATTTCAAAAAATGTTTACAACAAAAATAATAAAACTTAAAAATCGACTAGAGAAAATAAATATTCCTTAAAAGTAAATAATAAATAACACATTTGACTGGTATATAATTTTTAAAGATTATACTTAGTAAAGTTGTATTTAAAACATTTGTATGCATTTTGTAAAAATTACAGTTTTTACTTTAAAATAAAGTTTAAATTTAAAGTTGTATTAAATTGCTTGAAGTAGTTTGATATAAAATGTATAAATAAATAATATATGAAATTAACTCATTAATTGATATTTCAATTTTTAAAAAATTAAAAATTTCGATTTAAAGTAGAATTGAAACAATCAATTTCCATTGATCAATTTAATTTTAACTAAAATTAAATTAAAAAAAAAAAAAAAAATTAAAATCCCAGTGCAATACAAATGTTATACACTTTATAAATATTTTAGCTTGACTGAAAACTAAGTGTCTCATACATATAACTCACTAAATTCTTTCCTAAATCGTCAAAATGAATAGTTAAATTTTACCTAATATTATTAATTTATAATAATTAAATAAATAAGTCAACTGCCTAGTAATAAATGATTGGTGTAGTTATAAAATATCACATTTTTTTTTTTTAGAATTTACATAACTATCATTTCAATATTTATCTATATTATAATAAATTAAAATTCATATTTCATTGTATAGTGAAGGGAAGCTCATGATTTGTCCCAGGTTATAAGTGTAATACTGAATTTTTTATGTGCTACACTAATATTTTCATGCTATTTCTAACATCAATCACAATAAGGCAACAGTAATGTAGTACACATGGAAATATTTGTACAAAATATTTATACTAATTGGTTTAATTCAGTACAACATAGGGTTAAAATTCACTAATATAAGTAGGAATGTCAGATGTTCGTAATAAAAAAAAAAAAAAAAAAAAAAAAAAAAAACAAAAAACATTTAATTTTAACAAAATAAAACAAATTATAGCTATTAGAGTATTCTATGCTATTGAGATGTTATTATTTTGGTTTAAGGACCGTGGTTAAGTCACTGCCACCAGCATTATTATAATGATAATGTTGCCATAAATTGATGTACACAAGGTATGGCCCAGACCTTCACCACTAAACCCTTTTATAATATTGTCTGTCTTTCGGGACGTCTGCCACCTCCATCTTATCCTTCAAACAAAAACAAACAAAAAGAGGGGCTTTATTTTATTTTTTGAAAATTATTATTGAAATATATGTTTTTGTTTAACGTCACATTCAAGCGCATATGCACTCGTCACACATGCATACACAGAGCTGGGACAAATCATGATTGAGATTTGAAAACAATTTGTATAAAAAGACAAATAAACCAATCATCAACAGACAACGAAATATTTTGATTAAAAAAAAAAAAGATTTAAATCCTGCATCATTTTGTATTTATATGCCATGAGTTATCAAAGTATTTGGTAAAGCATTGTCGTTTTAAAAGTAGTTAACTTACTGAAACATAGGTTCGAAGAGCTTAAAATCACAAACCCTAAATCCATACAATCAAAAAGGCTTTAAAATCACAAGTTTACACTAAATTTGTATTAAAGTCTTTTTGATTTTAATTCATGCCCAGCTCTGCATATAAATGAGAGGTACAGGGAAACGCCTTAATCTAAACAATTTTTATGAGGTAAGAATTATTTAAAAATCCATTAATTTTCCAATCAAAATATATAAATAAATAATTGTGTAGTGACATTCATATATAACATATGGTCATAGCAAAAACTTTAAGAGACAGCTAATATAAATATATTTGTTAGAATGAATATACATAAATAAATTATATTTGTATCATATTTACATTTAACTTTTTTCCCGTGTACCCCTCACAATATGTATACTGTTAATTATGTTGTTAATAAGCACTAATTACAACATGAATGACAAACTACACAGAAAGAATATATTATAAAATTATTTTAAGCTAGTGCTATAACTTTTATTTAGTTTAAGGCATAAAACGACTAACGCTTACCAAATCATACACATAATTCTTGTATATGATTAATATTGAATGACTTAGATAACATTTACTATCAATACTAGTTCAAAATATTAACTGTTTGAATAAAACAATAATAATAACAAAGTATGCTTTATTCATAGTAAAATTAAAAAACAAAAAACAAGTTTGAACGAACTCAAAATATATAGCAGTCAAATAAATTTAACCATGAAATTAAATAGTATTGTAAGATTCAAAACTATGGTTTAACCTTTTAGTTAAACATAATCAGTACTAATTTAATTTTTAACATTTTATTAAATCAAACTAAAAAAAAAAAAAAAAAAAAAAAAAAAACTGAAATGTTTAAATATTTAACATTTATACAAGGCTAATAAAAATATTTTCAATATTACAATAAATACATGTAATAGCATGCAGTCAATTTTATTGTGACAATTAATCTATAGATATAACAATTTAAGTTTATTACAACTCAATAAAATATACTCAATTAAAAGCTCCAAACTTTCTGTCTTACTTTATTTCACTCAACTAATAGAAATGCAATACGATTGTTACAAGTGCTAAAGAATTCTACATTCATTGAAAGCAAAAACTTTTTTTTAATTTACTAATTACAAGTTCAATAGAAACAATAGTGACACTCATAAGGCTAATCACATAAAACAAATAATGGACTGTGATCTATATTCAGATTACATAACTTAAAAAATATGAATAGAAAGGAAACCCACTGGTAAAAAACTAAATGTTATTGCATGCAAGCATAAAGCATAAAATAAAATACATTATAAAAAATTCAAAAAAATATTTTTAATTTATGGAGATAATATAATGACAGAATTAATAATAATGCTAAAACATAGATTGTTTATATAACAGTTTATTAAAATTTTAACAAATCAATTAAAACAAGTATAATAAAAATGCAAGAATTATGTATAATTAAAAATTAAGAGCTTTTATGTTTGTTAGTATCCAACTATAATTTATAAATCATACTCGTAAAAATTAAATTTTGAACTCAAATTACTTGAACATTATTCAAAAAAATATTGGATATAATAAAGAAAATTATAAAATCAAAAATATCAAGGTATTAATTTTCTATTCGTCTGAAATTGAAAAATTTAAATTACAATGTAGTAATAGACTTTGAATTTAATGTTAATTGACAGGAAATAAACAAGTGCATTACACCTATACGTAAGTAAATACTTTACTTCAAATATGTATAGGAATTCTATAAATGAAGTTCGAAAGAAATAGAGAAGTATAGTAAAATTAGAAGTGTTAAATTAATACTTTCTACTATTCTGGAAAGTATTTATAGTATTTTGTATATAGGTACTACATTTATATTAATTTCATTTTTTTCCAAAGGTGGATCATATCATTAAATACCTCTGGATGAAAAATTGAACTGTGTACATTCAACTTTCATCAGTTATATGACACGTAAAACAAAAATTTTGAAAAATATTCATATATAAATGCTAAAATAACAACATTTAGGAAGGTTATGTTTGTCAAAATAAATTATATAAATCATTGCTTGTTCATATAATTTCCATTAGTATTAATCAAAACTATATATTTTAAAACAAAATATTTAATATAACTCATTAAAACATTTATAATTTATAACAATAAAGTAAAATAATTTATGAAACAGATTTTTTTTTCTTGCAAAATTGAATAATTGTAATTAAATAATGGTCAAAAAAAATTCCTGGAAAAAATTATAAATATATTTTTTTTAATCTAAAAATAATATCTAAAATATTGTCATTAGTCAAATAAAATTAACATTTTATTTAAAAAAGGAATTGAAAATTATTTGTTCAGTTGATTTTCTCAGACTCTAGTAATATAGATGGGTTTTGAAACTTGATTAATTTAAATTAAATAAAGAAATTTAAAAGATGATTTTTGTAAAAAAAAAAAGAAAAGGTAAAACAAAAGCCAGAGCTAAAGAGTGTACAGCCAGAAGAATGTTTTATTCAAAGCGATTTAGTGATTACCAGGGGCATTAAGGAAGGTGACATAACTGTCCTGGAATTTGCTCCAACCTGTTGTAGTTTGTTGTTGTTCAAATTGTTGAGACTGCTGTGTTTGTGGAGACACAGGGGTTGATACTAAACCACTCTCTTGACTGGCCTCTTCATCTGCTACAGGTATATTGGCAGCAGGTTTTTCCTTGTGTGAATGAGTGTAATGATAAGTAAGACCAGGACGAGTCTTGTAACGAGCTCCACATACTGAAACATTAGCATACGCTAACACCCTCATACAGCCGGCATAATGATCACGACAAACAAAAACACTCAAACGCAAACAAGTTAGACTAGTGTACTGACACAGAGTGACAATTGCAAAACAAATTACAAAATCATAAAAAAAAATCAAGTAGACATAATATAAATTAAGTTGAGCATTTTTTTTATTTTTACAAAAATAAAACACCATATATATTAGAGTAAAAAAATGAACTTTTTATAAAAAAAAGATAATAAAAATGTAACATTTCTAAATAAATACACCTAAGACCCTTTTTATACTGATCAACCCAAACTATTATTAAAGATGGTAATTCTTAAAAATTGAACTTTAAACCCTTATAGACTAAAATTGTAAATGCTTTTGATCAGAAAGTGTATTAATAATAATCCTAAATTTAATGTTACAATAAATTCAAATTTTCATTTCATTACCTGCCTAAAATAAATGTATAACATACAAAGAACCCTATATTTAATTATGTTTATACGAATAATACCACTTTATTGTGCTCTACTAACACAACATGCATTATGGTATAATATGCTAATTTAACATAGATTGAAATAATCAGGGTAAAAATAAATGCAATTACTTATTCCAGGTTAATCTTTAGTTTATGGTCAAATTTGTGCAAGACTAAAAAATTTTATAACCACAATAGGTATATAAAAATGATATAAACTTAAAATAGCATAAACCAAGTATATCACAAACTCAAAATAAGTGTACTTACGGTCACATGCATATGGTTTATCAGGATCTTGAAGGTCAATGAATCCACTCATTCCTTTTTTTCTTCCTCTTCCAGATGTTGACCCCTTATATATTAATAAAGTTAAAAAAAATATGAATAAAATGAATAATTATGTATGCATTTTATTTGCTAGTTAATTAACATAAAAAAAGTTCAGTAGAGCACCAGTTATTTATACTAATTGAGATCAATTTTATATGATTTTATTAAAATAAAATTAGTTAAATTACATATTAACATACTAAATATTCCACTTGTCTTTAAGAATAGCC